GGTTGGATGGATGGGTAGGTGGATGGGTGGGTACGTGGATGGATAGATGGGTGGATGGATGGGTAGGTGGATGGATGGATGGATGGGTAGGTGGATGGGTGGGTACGTGGATGGATAGATGGGTGGATGGATGGGTAGGTGGATAGATGGATGGATGGGTAGGTGGATGGGTGGGTATGTGGATGGATAGATGGGTGGATGGATGGGTGGGTAGATGAATACAATGTCTAAGAAACCACCTGCTGTATTACGTAAGAATCACTTGCAGGCATCCCTTCTCCCACTAGACCCCCAGCTGGGGCACGTCATTTACATCCATGGGTCCCTGACTGTGGCGCAGAGACTGGCAGTAGCCCTTCATCAGGAAACCTCTCCTATTCCATGAAACTTGCATCAGGTCCCTCAGCTTCGGCGGGGCCACCCAGCAGTGCAGTGAACTTTGGGGATTCATGAATGCAACACGGTTTTAAGTAAAAAGGGCTCTAGGTGAGTGTGTGTGTGTGTATACACACACACACATGCATACATACATGTAGGTAGGTATTATACACATGTATATATACACACATGTGTGTTTACATACACACACACACATACACACACACATATCTATATAAATACATAAAATCTCCGAACTTCTGATACAAACCAGAAGTGTCTGGTCATTTCAAAGGGATCACTCCCTTGTTCAACAGCCTTGCCAACCAGAAAAAGTTCCAAAGAAGTAATCTATTTAAGCCAATCAACACTGCTTTTACAAACTTATTTAACACCTTAACTCCTCACGATGACCCAAAACGTCTCACACTCGGAACTGGGCATCAGTGCCTAACAGGTCTCCCTGTTACGAACACACGGACGCATCCTCTTCCAAGTGTGTTTCCAATTTTCTAAAGCGCGTGTCGCTTGGGTTCTGTTGGCCCACACGGCGCCTGGTGCGCCAGCTCCTCAGATCTACTGGTTTTCACTCTTTACTTTTAATGTCAGTCCTTGTATCAATTAACCCCTCATTTCTGAAACAGAAAGTCTGCACGAAACAGCATCCTGTGAGTGAGAGGGAGCCAGGTACCTCCCGTTCGCAGAAAATATGAAATTCAGCAAGTTCCCAGGAGTCATTTGGACGGTGTTTTATATTCCAGCACTTGGTGATGCAGTCCATCACCATTTTTTTTTTCTGTTACAAGAATATAGAATGAAAAGATATTTCAATTATTTCACAGTTAAGAAAGGAGAAAAGGTCTTAAGTGGCTCGTCCTCCCTATCCAGTAACCAGGATGAAGTGGCACGAGAAACGGAACCTACTGGCTCTATAACGCTCGCCAGTACTTCCCAGGAAGAAAAGAAGCGATATCAATTTCAGACAAAGCGCTGGAACTGTCTTCCTAGCCAGGAAAGCTGACCAAGGCAGCCCTCTGGCTAATGACCTTGAAGAGCCTGGGAGAACAGAAACCAAGCCAGGGCATGTCATGGGCTGCTGCCGCACAGGGCAGCCTGTGACACCTGCTTCCTACTCTCTGCATGGGGTGTTTTTCACAGCTGGACACACTGCACCTCCTCCTCAAAACACAAGATTACGTCCCTAAAAACCGGCTTAGATTTCCCAGAACGAGTGTGAAATGACACTCGTTATTACATTCACCCCCCAAATAGACAGTGACATCTTGTATGGGTACGATCTCAGTCATTCAGCACTTATCTGCGCTCCTATTTATTTTTAAATGTAAGGGAAACAGATAAGAAAGCTTCAAAAGTCAAGCTTCCGAGGATATATATCGTCATGGCAGGAAACGCAAGATGTGATTGACAGGGTTTGCTGAGAACAGTTATCGCAGAGACAACAGTTTGGTGGGTAAA